TTTGATGTTAATTTTCAAAATTCCAAGTGTCAAGTTGTTACTGAAAATTTCGTATAATTAGACTTTGATGAATTAATAAAAAGTATTTTTTTCTCAACAATAATTATACATGTGATTATATCAGTCTTACTCATATATCGATATGCGACATTTAATTGAATAATCAACGATAAAAAGGGATTGCTTCTATACACGCGTTTTTAAATAAGAAAAATGCGAAATAAAAAGTCTGCTGCTGCTGCCAAAGCTACATTCTGATAGCTGTAAAAGTTTGTTGGAGTGTGTTGGAGTGTGTTGGAGTTGAATCTTTGCGGCAAAATAATAAGAAAAAAACTAATAAAAGAGAATCAAGAAACGGATGCGAAAGATCAATCCGATAGATGTTGATTCGATTTCTAGCCAAGCGATTGAAGTAATCAAGAAAAAGATATTAATAATCATGATGAAATGATAATCCTAGTCTATCAGACAAAGATGATGAGGATGAAAGTAACAAAGTATGCTCTAATCCTAAAAGAGTTGAATTAATTGAGTTGTTAATTTCTTGTAGATGAGATTCAGTCATTAAATGAAATGTGAATATTGATACGAACTCCATATGTACACTTTTTATGAATAAGATTTAAATGCAATTATGTATAAAGTTTTGCGATGGTACATGCAAATAGTAAAAATTTGTTTGCATTATTCTTCCATACGATTTAAGTGCTTATTTTATACATATACAAAATATGTCACGCTTTACAAACGAATTCCTCACGTATGACTTGTTCATCCTGAGTTTCCAGACTTGAAAAATAAGTGACGATTCAGTATCAATATGCTCGAAATTAAAATGCACTTCTGTGCCTAGCTTTTTTGTTGGATATTATTAGAGGACTTTACACTTTAAATTCTATATATTTATTTACAAAGTATACAAGTGCAAAATTTGAGTTAATATGATAAATTATTGATTTCATGAACAAAATATGAAAAATTCAACTATGAAATTCACTTAAACGATCGACCAAACTGCATTAATGTGAATCCTTTGATACATATAGTAGACTCTTTTTATTATTAATGCATGTAGTTTGATAAGAATTTTTAAAATCTCCTAGCATATAGAGATTAATTCATTGAACCTTCGCTTAAATGTATATAATACTATCAAATTGACTAAATAATTAATGAGTAATTCATTTAATGTTGATTACCGTGTCTCGTGGACTAAAGTAGCTCTCCTTTGTAGAATTTATATTTTGATACAAAAAATTGTTGAATTAGTAAATTCCTGAAGAAATTGTTTTGCAAAAATTGAGTATTTTATAAAAAACATTGTTATTGAAAAATCAATCCAAACAAGGTCCACGAAATACTTATTTTATTGCGTTGTTTAATAAAATCAACATTATTATCAGCTCATTATTATAGCCTAAATCGGATATTGTTAAATCTTGAATATAATTAATATCGTAAAATATTGATATAAATAAAAACATTTTTATAAACGAATAATTTCGATGAGACACAGTTTTTATGCCGTAGTTATGGAAACAGTTTAAAAATAATTTCAAAGTTAAAATATGTAAATAATTTAAACTGTATCATTAAAATTATTACCAATATAATCTCATTGTATCATGTACTATTTGTTTTTAATGCTTTAAATTAACACGATGTAAATGTATCGGTATATCAAGTTAAATACATGTATTGATCCAAATTTATTAACTCTCTTAGCGTTAGGTCTTATACATGTCCATGTATATTGTAACCAAATGCATAACGAAGATTATACCTTGCATGTGGCTGAAAAAAATGGTGCCTCTACTATCACCACATCCAACAAAATATTTTCCATTTATTTGATTCTTTTGTCATATCTTAAATAGGAGTTTTGTTGTTCGGTTTATAATCTTTGACGGTAAATCAACCTAAAAATCATTTTGTTTGAATATAAAAATAAATATGCGAAACTGTATCAATTGGGATTGATATTAATTTTAAAGTAAACATTCGACTTGTGTAAATTGCATCTGAGAGGACTTGTTATTTTTTTGTTCGTATTCATAGGATGCGATATCTTTTCTGTCTTTCTATTTTAGACACTTTTGAATTTAAGCTATTCTAAAGAGCTGTAGTACAAAGTATTTCAATTCCAACAATCTTCATTGTCAAAGTAGATAGGGTAAATAAATTCTCTCAGTTTCTTAGTAATTGGTCTGTTTTCTGGAAAAGGATATTTTATGACTTCGATACCCAATTACGAGCTCATACGCAATCATTCCAAAACTATAAATATCTTCAGCGTTGATGTATGTCTTTCCATTTAGCATCTCTTGATTCATTAAAGAAAGTACTCAATTTCTTGGTTAGATGACTTAATATATACTCGCCGTCCTAAATTGAGTTTTAACAAATATAAACATATTTCCAGGAAGAAGGTCACGATGCACAAACTTTTCTTTGCGCATTTCCTTTAGATTACTGATTATATAAAGTAAGTATTTTAATTTTGATCCCAAGTCAATTTTTTCGTAGTTGAAATTAATATTCATTTGTAACTGGGTTAGTAATTCCATAATATTCAATATTTAATATAATCAGTCCTATAGCAGTCTGAAACTATTTTTGAAAATTTGATTGTGTTAGAAACAAAAAGCAACTTTCACTTTAGGAAATGTTTATCTTTACCTCGCGTAATAATTTAACACGACTACAATTTCTCTTCGTATAGCTAACGTAGGTAAATCCTCCAAAAGGAATTCATTCAAATTTTTTAATGATTCTTTTATTAGATCATCGATATCATTATCTTCGTTAAACAATGCATTGTTATAAATTTATAAATTCGTTTATGAGTATTGTAAATTAAACAATCATCTGTTCTCTTTACAATCAATACATTTACTATAATGATGAATATTCGATTCCATTTTTGAGCTTAAATTTATTGAATGATAAAAACAAACGAGATAATTGTATGCCTCAACAGGAGGTACAGATTCAACACATAATAATCGGTACTACGCATCATCGGGTGTAATTATTAGTAGGCGAAAAAGTGGGATTTTTTAAGGATAAACCAATCAAATCGCAAGATATCAAAAAGCATTTCGGTTAATGTTGGGTTAGAATCAAAGTTAAAGATTACATTACATCTTATTTGCTGCAAAGGAACATTTTTGTTAGTGCATGTAGTTTATTTTTTTCGTTTTCTGTTGCACATTCATCTTGCGACTTGTTTTACCCCTTTAAAATAAAAATCATCGGTAGTACCAATCATTATGTGTCGGATTTTCCGGATCTGCTACTTTTTATTGCAAATGTATGATAGATATTACATATCGATATCAATATCAAACGATTGGTGACATGTTCGCGTATTTGGCAGAGAGATTTACATTAAAAGATACCCTTTATTCGGTACGTCTTGCAGGGAACCACCCCGTTTTATTAATTTCGATATAATTATTAAGTAATAAATTCAAGACCCTTATAAAATAAAACTACTAATAAATATAAGCTTTATTAAACTAACGATAAAAATAATCGGAAAGTCAAGTTTTATTTCATACTGAAAGGATCTGCATGATTTTTCTTTGGTGCTACGTGTATGTGTGTACATGTTCATGTACTGTTCATGTGCAATGTTGGGTTAAATCGAAACATTATCACTGCTCATACGTTATTATGTGCATTTACACAAAAAATGTCTAAAGAAATATTATTGAACTCTCATAGCAATAACCTTGTTAAATTATACGAAAATTCAAATTTTCATGACATTTTGATAACTGTCGGTGAACAACCAAACGATCAAAAAACTTTTTCGGCACATTTGGCAATTTTGGTAGCACAATCGCCATATTTTGCGACAGCCTTGTCAGATGTCTGGGCCAAAAGAGATGTAAATAAAATAATCAGCTTTCAAAAACCAAATATTACTCCCCGAACTTTTGAAATTCTGTTAAGGTAAATAGAGTCAAAATAACAAACTATATGATAATTATTAACTTGAATTGTAAATTTTTAGGTATTTTTATAGTGGAGAAATCGACTTAGAATACGATTTATTCACAGTGCTAGATGTATTGATTGCTGCGGACGAGTTACTACTCGATGATTTGATTGAATATATAGAATATTTTATAATAAAACAATTTGAGGCGTCAATTATGGAAAACTTCTATACGGTCATTCAAATTGCTTTTGAGAATAATAATTTTGTGCTCTTGCAAATCTTTTGCATTAATATTGCATGTAGAAATCCTGAATTAATCTTCAACTCACCTGACTTTACTCAGCTTGAAGAACCGATTCTTATTTCATTGCTTCAAAATGATGATTTGAATCTTACGGAAATCGAAATGTGGAATAAAGCTATTGAATGGGGAATCGCACAAAATTCTGAACTGAATTCTCCGATTGAAACTTGGACAGAAAGTGAATTTAATCTTTTAAAATCCACTCTGCAAAACTGCGTGCCATATATCAGATTCTTTCACATCGAGCATACTGATTTTCTCAACAAAGTTTTACCGTATTCATCAATATTGCCAGAGCACTTATTTCAGGATTTAAAAAAACATTACTTGGACTCTGAGAGCAAGTTCCATTTAGCAACAACACAATATAATATACGAGGACTAACCAGTAATTCTCATATTTTATCAAATCAACAAATAAGCAAAATTAAAACGTGGATTAAGCATGAAAACAAAGCGCGAATCGGGGAAGTGAGCTTAAAGTTATTAATGCGTGGTAGTCGCGATGGATTTGAACCCGCTAATTTTCATCGATTATGCGATGACCAAGGTCCAACAGTCACAGCTATCCTTTTGAAGGATCGCACAAAAATAATTGGAGGTTACACTTCTATATCTTGGAGATCAGATTATAAATCTTGGTTATCAGATTCTTCTCGTTTTAAAAATTTTTCTAGTTTTCTTTACTCATTTGATCTGATTAATAATAAGGAAATTTTAAGTAGATATCAACAAGGGAAATTTGGAATGAAACATGGTCTTTTCGGTCCAGCTTTTGGCTCTGGACCTGATTTAGTAATGGTTTTAGGTGAAATAGGTAATTTTGGTCATTGTCGTAAAACCGATTCCTACGAATATGGTTTGCTTGGAGGCGAGTATGAAAGGGTTAGGTTTCAATTAGATGAATTTGAAGTATTTCAAGTAGTTTACTTGTAATAACTTTACACGCATATATGTAATACGAAATATGTTTTTTAAATTTCAATGGCATTTTTCTTATTCTCATAATTCTCCAATGTGCCAAATATATTTTCAATATAGTCTTAAACTATTATCTCAAGTATTGACTTTTTTTCCTGAATTAATTTAAATATGTATATGAAACACTATTTTTTTTTAAATTATTCGTGTTAACTTATTATCGATAATAATAATATAAATGTCTCTTGATAACTGAAATTCAAAATCATATCAATATTTCTTAGCGATAGACAAAAAATCTTTATTCACAACTTATGATAATGTGTCGAATATTTAGCATTCTCATAAAACTTTACAATTCATTAGGATGTGACATTAATTTGTGTGATATTGTCAAGAATCGCTAGTACATAGCGATAACAATGCAACAATAGAATATAATACCGATACTGGAAGTTTTATATAAAAGCTATTTCTCGTTATATCAATTTATACTTAACATTATCATTTAATAGATATTATAGGACATTGTATGCAGTACTCAGGGTTTATCATTTATAAATTAAATAGTACACATGGGTACTTTGTATAGAACCTGGTGCAATATGAAAGTAATAAAATAATATAGGTTATAATATAACCGGGATTAGGCCAGCATGAATGGTGAAAAGCACCCGGATCTTAGTCATGAACTAATAACTCTTGAAAAACAGCCATGCAAGATTTTTATTCATGAGCTATAATAAATCCCATATATTTGATCTTTTGATACGTCTTCAATAGGATGTTTATTATTCATTTTGTGATCTTTGGTTTGTCAATATTAAAAGTATATTAAAGACATCATTATTAATGAGAGAAATCTAGTTCTTTCTATCATTGTCAATATAATATCTAAATCAAACATTTGGTTGACATTAAAAAAGAGGAAGATTTTACAATAGTGTTTAAATCTATTTTCAATGTGATCCATCTAATTCTTCGTAATCTTCATCGTAGTACCTATTTTTTAACAATTGAATATTACAATAATTATTTTTGAGTTCATTTTTAAAACCGAATTGTTAGTATAATTTTTGTAGAAGAGTCATAAAGATTCGATTTATTCGAATCCTGTGTTAACGTTATAAATTGTTATAGTTACAAACAAGATAGTCGCTTTCTTGTTAAAATCACGCATTTAACGTTCACGATTTTATTATAAAATTACCTCTTCATAGTCACATCTCGTTATAGTCACTGGATTAATATTTCCGACCCTGTGATTATAACGAGGTGCGACTGTATAACATACAGTATGTCATTTCTGGATCAAGGACCTAACCATCATCAATTTACGGGATAACACAGGTTTGGTGGATTAATGGTACATGTATTAAAAGTTTTTTTTTTACATATTAATTACAGTGCGTAACAAAAAAAAGCAGATATTTTTTTTTTGATTATATTCAATGAATATTTATTTAATTTATACAAAATTTTAAACATATATACTTGATAACCTAGAAAAAAAGTTTACTTAAAAGTATTTAATAGCTTATCTTAATAAAATTTTTCATAATT